AGCGCTACAGTTCTGCTGCAGGCGGCGGCGCCTGTTGGCACCGGTGTGTGCAAAGAGGGACTTCAGCGGTTCAAAAGTCAGCCCGGCCTCGGCCGGGTCAGCAGCGCGGGTTGCTGCCCAGTCCTGGCGCACGGCCCTCCGAGCAGGTTTTGCCGTGGGAAGGAATCGCCCGGCACAGCTCCTTGCGGGACCCACCAAACTTTCTGTCCTCTGGTGAAGATCTGAAGAGTCCTCAAGTTCCCCAGCTACATCAGAATAGGCTATATACAAAGCTGGATTTCAATCAAAGTTCATAAACTATTACTGCCCATTAAGTTAACAAGAAGTACAGCAAAATCTGATGGAATCGGCTGCGGTATTTACAGCGAGGCTGACTGCATCTAATTGAGTTTGTGGCTTGAAACTAATGGCATGTCTGCTTTATGCAAAGTCTTTTGTTCTCAGTGAGCAAATATTTCTTCTAATTATCTGCATAACGTGTACAAGGAGTGATAAAAGCGGTGCAGGTAGTCACACAGAGCATGGTGGGAGGGACTGGCGTAACACAAATGAAACACAGAGGGTTACAGAATAAATACAAATATAAATATAGTCACCACTGAGAAATAACCTTTATTGCTAGCTGTGATTAAAGGCCAAATAGAGACACTTCCTATTAAACACAGCTTGTGAGGGGAAAAAAGCCCTTAGGCAGGGTGAGGAAAATTTTCCATGGTCTGGTGGTTGTGTCCACATTCTTTCCACATACAGTCTACTGAAACTGTGAGTATCTCTAATTAAACAAAGCCAATGTGAGAATACAGATAGTACTATGGGCTGGAAACCCGCACAAACCTCTAAGTTAATGCACTTTACTTGTGCCTTCAAAATTGTAACTGGAGGGGGGAGGTCACTGCCACTGCTGTTCCCCGGAGGTCCCTATGTCAGCACTGGCTCTCATGCCATGTGCAGCCCCCCCTGCCGTAACACGACTAATGGTTCACATGTGGTCACCCTTTCATCCTCTCCCCAGGGCAAGAAGCGTGTGCAGCAAGCACCTTGGTTTTTTAGGGTTGTTTGGGGCGGGTTGGTTTGGATTTGGTTTGCTTTTGCTGTTGTTTTTTCTTATTTTAGCTAAACTTACATACTTACTAAACTTGCATGCTCAGCTATATGGGAAGGGCAAGGTCAAAGAATCGCTTCTTGTATTTGGGGCAGGCAACAGCGAGCTTTTCAGCTCATGGTGAAGTTTGTCCTGTAGTCCTGGACCAGCCTGAGAAGGTTGTGCCTGGCTCGGGGATCCTGGGCACTGTGTGCTGTAGAAGGAGAGATGAAGAAATCAGGGCCACCTCCACAAAGTCATGCTGAGAGTGCAAGATTAACTAGGAGAAATAAACTTTTTTGAGCAGTGTTTTTAATGGTAAGGTAGGGAGTGAGAATAGAGAGCCTGCAGTGGGAACTGATGGTGCCACATGCACTGAAACATGAAAATGATAATGCAGAACAATTCAGAACCAGAAAACAGAAGCTGCGTTTCCAGAACAGGTTTTGTAATTGGAATCAAGGGAGACCACAGAGGATCCCCCCGTACAACCCCAGGCAGTACAAATCACTGTCCTCCACTTAAATACAAGTCTTAACTTTCTTAACAAAGTCCTGTTTTCACAGTTCTGGACCCCGAATGAGTGCCTCTGCAGTCTGTGGAAGTGTGTGCAGGCCTGGTAGGTTGTGTGATTATCTGCAGGTGCCTCTCTACACACGACCTAGTGACCTATGGGGAAATTCAGCATCGTGACTTTGTAGATGGAAAACTTTGGGTGTCCTGGGAGAGCTTTTTCCAACTTGTGCATGCTGATAGCTTGCCTGCTAGCGTCAGAAAGCCGCACCTAGCATTGCTTGCTTGTTTTCCAGGTCGTGCACTGCTGATCCTCCTCTTGTCTGCAACGGTCTCTCTCCTGGGTGGGCTGATATTTGGATACGAGCTGGGGATTATCTCCGGTGCACTGCTGCAGTTGCAGATTGACTTTCACCTCAGCTGCTTCAAGCAGGAAGTTCTCGTGAGCGCCCTCCTTATCGGAGCTCTCCTCGCCTCTCTGGTTGGGGGGATCCTCATTGACCACCATGGACGGAGGAGAGCAATCCTGGTCAGCAGCTTGGTCCTGTTGGTGGGCAGCCTTATTCTCACACTGGCGAGGTCATTTATTGGGCTGGTCATTGGGCGCATGACCGTGGGCTTTGCCGTCTCTGTCTCATCCATGGCCTGCTGCATCTATGTCTCAGAAATGGTGGCTGCTCATCAGCGAGGACTGCTGGTGTCTCTCTACGAAGCGGGCATCACCGTAGGCATCCTGCTGTCCTATGCGCTGAATTACATCTTTGCGGATGTGGATGAGGGATGGAGGTACATGTTTGGACTGGCCATTGCCCCAACGGCCATGCAGTTCCTCAGCATCCTCTTTCTCCCAGTGAACCCTGTTAAATTAAGCTCGTGGGACTCAGACTGCCAGAAGGGCCTCATTCAATTGCAGAACACTGAGGACAGAGAGACAGCAAAGCGGGAGCCCTATAAGGAGAAGCATTACTCATTTCTTGACCTTTTCAGGACCAGAGACAACATGAGAAGGCGGACTCTGGTGGGCCTGGGACTGGTGCTCTTCCAGCAGTTTACTGGGCAGCCCAATGTGCTGGGCTACGCTTCCAAAATCTTCCACTCGGTGGGGTTCCAGAGCAACTCCTCGGCGATCCTAGCCTCTGTCGGGTTGGGGGCGATAAAGGTGGTGGCCACGCTCATCGCGATGGCCTTTGCAGACAAGGCTGGCAGGAGAGTGCTACTCATGGCTGGCTGTGTGGTGATGGCCATCTCTGTCACCACCATTGGCCTCACCAGCTGCATCGCTCCGCTGGCCATGGCCAGGGATTGCAAAGCAGCGGCAGACCCCAATGCATCCCACAGCCTCACCCAGCACCCCCTGATGCCCGTATCCTCCCAGCCTGCTGTGTCACCCATCCTGCCAGCATTAGGTGCTGGCAAAAGTCAGGCAGGTCCTGGGTTTGCTGCCACAAGGAGCCTTGCAAAAGCTTTTGCCAGTACTCAAAGCAAAGAGGTTGTTCCCGATTCTTCCCTCACTCAGAAAAGGGTCATGATAGGTCAGGCCAAAGAAGAGACAGTGGGAAGCACTGGCCCTCCTTTCGGTGGTGCTCCCTGGGCAGAACATACGGTCTTAAATTGGATTACGCTGCTGAGCATGATGGCTTTCGTGAGCGCCTTTTCAATTGGATTTGGACCAAGTAAGTATGGTGTTTATATATCCTTGCACTAACCCAGAGAATAAAACTCGGGCTGATCTTTATAGTCTGCTTGAAATGTTCATTATGTATCTGCTTTACCCAGCAGCTCAGTGTCTGGGAACTGGAAATTTACCCCCTTCAGCCCACTGAATAATTTTCTAGCATTGCAGCTCTGTCAGCTATAGGGCTGGCACAGCACTAGAATAACTTTCTCTTCCATGCTATCACTACCCTTGTAGTGTTTTTTTCTGTCAAGCTCATTGCAAAATCCGAGCATCCCACAAGCACTACCTAATCTTCCTAGCACCCTGATGAGGAGGAAAATAGAGGGCTGAGGACAGAGGGACTGAGGGGCTTCTCCTGTGTGATGAAGAAAGTCAGTGGCAGAACTGGAAGTGGAACCTCCTCGGAAGTTTCTCAATATCAGTTGGTCTTCTTCTGAAATTGTTATCTATTTGTCAGATGAGAATAGAGATTAGTTTGTGCTTCCACGTGAGCTCTAGCGTTTTCTGACATTTATTGCTTTAAATGCTTTGATGGTAGAAAACAGCACCTAACTCAAGGAAAAACAGAAGTGCACAGCAAGTCTCATGGGTTTGACAGTGACCCTGTAAGTTATTTCAAGCAAAATAACCCTGGGACAGGAGAGGCTACTTTAAGATATATATTGCTTTAGCTCTGATTTTAGCCCAAACGCGACATTGTCTCCCTAATCCTACCTCTTTCTCACTTCTTTACAAAGAGCACGCCCTGACAGCAGGTATGCCAGATCTTTTCCATCTCCCCTGACAGGAATGACCAACCCTCTTGCTTTCTTCTTTGCTCCCTGGACCTGTTCATTGGTATTTCATTCCTCCGTGGAGCGCTGAATGTGGGAGTTTTGAAGTGTTCTGCTGTGACCTGACTCTGAGATCGATGAATGTTTGACACCACCAGCAGCAGGTGCTGGCTGAAGCCAGAGTTTAAAACCCCTGCTGAAATCCTCCTTGCCCATTTCTCAGATAAACTGCTTAACCCCTATAACTGTCTTTCTGACCTCTCTAATCTGTGCAGTGACCTGGCTGGTCCTCAGTGAGATCTACCCCGCTGGGATAAGAGGAAGAGCCTTTGCCTTCTGTAACAGCTTTAACTGGGCTGCCAATTTACTGATCAGCCTCTCCTTCCTGGATCTTATTGGTAAGTGGCTGTCCCCCATCCCTCCATCTCCCACAGCTGGTTGGGGAAGGTGGCCACCACAAGCCGTTTGGAGGTTAAGTGGCATTTTGAACCCTGGGGACTTGATGCTGGAATAGGTGTGACCCTGATGCCTCTGAGAGCAGAAAAACCAGGCACCAGCAACACTGGTCTGAGCCCCTCTGCCATCCGTTTCATAAAAATCATCCATCGCCCACTGGGCTGCACTGTAATACTGCAGTATCGGGAAACCATGGAGCTTGCAGCTTTCATGCTGATAGCTTTACGGCGTTTCTTGCTAGCAGAGCTCTCGGCTGAGGCACTCAGCCGGAACTGCTGGCCCTTGGAGCTTGGCTGCCTTGTCCTTCCCTCTGTGATGCTGCTGGCAAAGCCTGGTGTGGACCGTCCTTCTCCCTTGCTGATTCCTGGTCCAGACCTTGCAGATAAGGAGCTTTCCCTGCCCTTTTGAGGGTTTCTCAAAATAAAATGCCCCTGTCAGGCACCAATGACCACCTCACAGTAAGCAACCAGTTTCCTTTGCATCGCACGATGTGACCTATCTCGCACACGATGGACCCTTCACACACTTGATTCTCTCTGCAGATGCCATCGGTTTCTCCTGGATGTTTCTTCTCTATGGACTGATGGGAGTGATGGCTGTTATATTCATTTACCTTTTTGTTCCGGAAACGAAAGGACAGTCCTTAGAGGAGATAGACCAGCAGTTCTCCAGGAAACGGTATGTGTGCTGCTGTACCAGCGTGAGTGCTGGCTTTGGGTGCTTCCCACCAGCAGTCCCTGAGGTCTGCGGCACTGGGCAGCTCAGGGCTGTTGCGAAGTCTGGTCAGTGCCACTAAGAATATCTTAGATTTGTGCAGGCCTATGGGACGGGGTGTGAGAGCTGCAGCGTGGTTCATCAGCAGGTCACTGAACTGAGTCTTGCGGCCATGCTGCTGGAGAGCACTAGTGACATTTGGGAGGAAAAGGGCTGAAAAACAGGGCTTGTGGGTGAGGGGAGGAGAGCAGGACCAGAGCATGGCATAGGCAGGTCAGGACTGCAATGTCCTTAGAATAATCCTGGACTGATCCTTCTCCTCTGGGGCAGAGACATCTCCTGGCGTAACACACGCCACGGGCTTTCAGCCGGTAATTTCCATGCAAAGCCTGTAATTCTGGCTGGGCTAGGGAAGATGGAGTGGTTATTTGTGCAATTCTGGTTGTGAAGGAGGTGGCAGGGCAGGGATTGCTGGAGCAGAGGGAGGTTGTGCAGCCGCACGATGACAAGGGGCAGGAGCACACACCCCATGGAGGGGTGGCCGGGGAGGGGTAGCTGCTGTAAACCCCTGCCTGCCTCCTGGCTCCCTGTGAGCAGCAGCTGCTGCAACTGACCTTCACCATTGCCCGGCAGGGTGTGGGAAGGAAATGTGTTTAAGCAGAGACGTGGAAGAGGAGCGAGCTGCGCACACGCCCAGTACCAGAGAGTGGAGCATGCCAGCAGCACATGAAACCAATGACATGCCCGCAGCATCGCCCTGAGGAGAGGCGCAGGCTGTGCCATCAGGACAGTTCTTTTCCATGGCCTTTAACTGGTGACCTCTGCTCAGAGACGGTTCTCACTGCCTTAGATCTTGGGACATGCTAATAGCTGTCCTTTGGGTCCTTGGAGGATCGTAGGTCCCAGGCAGGGATCATGTCCTTCCTTTGATCTCTTTTATTTTTCATGGTTTGTATCTCCTATCTTTAAGAGATTAATGGTTTTGTATGCAGGAATTAAAGCACCACTTTTGCTGACAATGCTTTCCATCTGTGCAGTTCATTTGTGAGCAAGGTGTATTATTTTCTAGTTCTTTGAAATACTTGATGCTTTACAGAGGGGACAGTAGTGCAGGAGGAATGTGTCAAGCACTCAGCAGCGTACATTAATATTGTCACGCTTTGTAACGTCTATGTAGGAGCCTGGAGCCTGAGGCGGGAGCTAGTGCAGCTAAACACCCTACCTCAGTGGAGGCAGAACGAGTGCTAGCTCACAGGCTGCTATTTCCCACAGTGTAAAGGTCCGGCAGCTCACCTGCCTGATCACCCAAGGCCCATGCTAAACAAGTGTAGAAGTACATCTCGTGCGTGTTTGGCTGCTTTCTTTTGTACACAAGGGCTGCTTTGCATTCATGACCAGGGTTTGCATGTACAAAAAAAATACATGCAATATTCTGGTACCTTCTACAAGTTTTCCACCTCTTACCATTGTACATTCTTTGATTAATTCACCCTTCCTCCTGACACATATAAAAACCCACCCTACTAACACTACACTCACTCCCCAAACCTTGTGAGAGAGGAGGAGCTGGTATCCTGCTGCTGCTGAACAGCCAGCCTTGCCTCTTTTGAACCCCTGAAGGAACTAAGTGCCAAAGCTTGGGGTTTTCCACTGAAAATGCAACTCCTTGGGGGCCAGTGACTGCTACGCTGAGCCACCTGGTTGGCAACCACAGGGACAAACACAAAGGATGCGGCCATGTCACTCAAACCCCTATCTCAAAGAGAGGCCACAGAAACACTGGAAAATGATCTGTCCTTGGCTGTAATCCGGTCCACGGCTGTCAGGTGTCTGTGCTTTTCTCATCCCACTGAGCGATGGGGGTCACCCATGGCCTTCCTCACACACAGCCTTCCTCACCTGCCTCGGCCTCCCCGCTGCATCTCTGCTGCGGCTGGAATTTGGTGTTTCAGAAGTCCCTCATGCACTGCAGATGCTGTCACCTCAAGGCACACAAGGACACCTGTAAAACAGAAAAGGGATGCTCTCTTCCTGCAAAAAAGCCCATGAATACTGAGCTGTATGAGGGGTAACTCTGATTTGCTGGGGAAAAAATTGTCAGTGCTGTCCTAGGAGTTAAAGTCAACTCCAGATTATGGCTGCAGGCTGTGGCCGTCTGTAACAGGATCGTATATTCACCAGCGGATCCCTGGCCACGAGGGATGGGGGTGGAGGGGGGATGCTTGCATGCACCCCTATCGTATTTGGTTGGAGGGAGGGTACT